AAATAAATAAAAAAAAAAAAAAAAAAAAAGCCACATCATGCTCAACTGTGAAAGACTAAAGGCTTTTCCTCTAAGGTCAGGAACAAGGCAAGGTTACCCCCTTGTGCTTTTTCCATTCAACATAGCATTGGAAGATCTGGCAGAGCAATTAGGCAAGAAAAATAAATAAAAGGCATCCAGACTGTAAAGGAAGAAATAAAATTATCTCTGTTTGAAGATGATATGGTCTTACATGTAGAAAACCCTAAAGATTCCACCAAAAAAAAAAAGTTAGAACAAATAAATGAATTCAGTGAGTAGCAAGATACAAAGCCAACACACAAAAATCAGTTGCATTTCCATACATTAACAATGAACAATCTGGAAAGGAAATTATGAAAACAATTCCATTGACAATGAAATCAAAAAGAGTAAAATACTTAGGAATTAATTTAACCAAAAAGGTATAAGACTTGTACCATGAAAACTACAAAACATTGCTGAAAGAAATTAAAGACACAAATAAATGAAAAGACATCTCATGTTCATGGATTGGAAGGCTTAATATCGTTAAGATGTCAATACTACACAAAGTGATCTACAGATTCAATACAATCCCTATCAAAATCCCAATGACATTTTTTGCAGAAATAGAAAAACCCATCCTAAAATTTGTACAGAATCTTGTGAGATCTCATGGGACTAGGAAAAATAATCTTAAAAAAGACCTGGAGGACCCACATTTCTGGTTCCAAAACTTACTACAAAGCCACAGTAATTAAAAGACAGTGATGCTGGGGCACATGGGTGGCTCAATTGGTTAAGCATTGGACTCTTGGTTCCACTCAGGTCATGATCTCAGGGTCCTAGGATTGAGCCCTGTGTTGGGCTCCATACTCAGCAAGGAGTCTGCTTGAAATTCTCCCTCTCTCTCACTCTCTCTCCCTCCCTCCCTCTGCCCTACACATACACACACTCTCTCTCTAAAATAAATAAATAAATCTTAAAAAATAAAAAACACCTGAAACACAGTGATGCTGATATGAAGTCAGGCATAGAGACCAATGGAGTAAAATAGAGTCTGGAAATAAACCCTCCTAAGTGTTGCCAAATGATTTTCAACAAAGGGGCCAAGGCCATTCAATGGGGAAGGACAGTGTTTTCAATAAACAGTGTTGGGAAAACTGGATGTCTACATGCAAAAGAATTAAGTTGGTCTCTTACCTAACAGCATATACAAAAACAAACTCAAAATGGATCAAAGACCTAAATATAGGACATAAGTCTATAAAACTCATAGAAGGAAACATAGGGCAAAAGCTTCACAACATTGACTTCAGCAACGATTTTTTGGATCTGACCCAAAAGGCAAAAGCAACAAAAGAAAAAATAGACAAATAGGACATCAAGAAAATTAAAGTTTTGTGCATCAGGGGTGCCTGGGTGGCTCAGTCCATTGAGCATCTGCCTTTGGCTCAGGTCATGATCCCAGGGTCCTGGGATCGAGCCCTGCATTGGGCTCTCTGATCAGTGGGGAGCCTGCTTCTCCCTCTCCCTCTGCCTCTCCCCACTCTGTTGCTTGCTTGCTCTCCCTCTCTCTCTCAGATAAATAAATAAAACCTTAAAAAAAGTTTTGCGCATCAAAGATGCTATCAACAGAATAAAAAGACAATCTACAGAATGAGAGAAAATATTTTCAAATTATATATCTGGTAAGGGATTACTATCCAGAATAAATAGACAACTAAAATTCAACCACAAAAAAACTCATTTCAAAACTGGACAAAGGACCTGAACAGACATTTCCAAAGAAGACACAGAGCTGGGCAACGAGGACATGAAAAGGTGCTCGCCATCGCTCATCACTGGGGAAATGCCAATCAAAATCACAATGATATACCACATCCATTAGGATGGCTACTATCAAAACAAACAAACAAACAAAAACAGAAAACAAGTGTTGGAGAGCATGTGGGGAAATTGGAAGCCTTGTGCACTGCTGGTGGGAATGTAAAGTGATGCAGCTGCGGTGGAAAAACAGGATGGCAGTTCCTCAAAAGCTTAAAAATAGATTTTTCTAATGATTCAGCAATTCCACTTCTGGGTATATATCTAAAAGAATTGAAAGCAGGGTTTCAAAGAGATATTTATATACCATGTTCATAGCAACAAATTCACAATAGCTAAAACACAGAAACCAACCAAGTGTCCAACGATGGATGAAAAGATGAGTATAGTGTGCTATATCCCCACAATGGAACACTAGTCAGCCTTCAAAAGGGAGGAGCTTTCTTTAATACAGGATTGGGGGCACAGGGTAGGCATGGCTTAAATAACTTTTTTCTTCTCTCCGAAGATATTTTAAACCGTACTGATATCTCTTAATATTAAAAGTAAAATTATCTAAGAGTCCAGAGGAATGTGCCACTGGTTCTGGGACCATGGGCAAGCCTCTGCTCTCTGGGCCTCAGCATCCTTGTCCACGAGACAAGGGAGACTCCATCTTCAGGGCTTTTGTATTCTCCCGATCCCTCCGCTGGTTCTCCCCAAGCTGCAGCAATCCAGACACTTCCATGGAGCTGTGATTTATAAAGGTATTTGCAGGTACCATCCTACATGGGTCACGTCTTTTCCTGGAGCCACACAGGACTGAGCTCCTGCCCTCTACACACAGCCGGAAGGAAGCAGAGAAGAGAGGAAAGATGTGACAAGAGCCTGTGGGATGGAGGGTCCCTACAGGTGCCCATTGGAATCCCATTCCCACTCCTCCCCAGCGAAGCCAGCCAGGCTGATGGCGCCTAGCTGCCTTGTTGGTGACCCTCGAGGGGAGCAGGCTGAGGGGGACACGGGTGAGGGCTGAGGGGGCTGGTCCTCGGCTTCTGTGGCCCACAGAGACCTCCAGATGGTGGGGCTGGTGACACAGGCTTATGTCTTCGTAATCACACTGTACTGTGTCTCCTCCAGGGTCCTCTGGGAGCGAATCTTTTTGGCCTTAGAATCCCCACTCTGGAGGTCAAATACCATGGACGAGTAGTGAAGTTCTTCCCTGGGAGCCTTCTGCAGAGAGAGAGACGGGAGGCTCAGGGAGAGGGGGGAGAAGCACGGACCCCCAGGTCAGGATGGAGACGGGGGACCCCCGAGGGACAGTAGGCTTGGAGCGGGGGGCCTTCACGGTGGGAGTGTCCAGACTTCCCCACTGTCCTGCCCACACCCCTGCTTCACCCCACTTGTGAAAACACAGCACAAAGTCCCAAGCATCAGACCCAGGCACGGGGCTGGGGGTTGGGGAGCAGAGAATGCCTAGGATCCACTTTGAGATCATTAATCACCAAATTAGAAAAACAAGGACGTTGCTAGTCCCAGGCCCACGTGTCTGATGCTTATCTCCTCCTCATCTTCTCCAACAACTAGTCCCCTAACCTCTCCCTGAACTCTTTCACTAGCAGGTGGGTCTTGACCCCAGTGAGGGGGGGACCTCTTCCATGTGTCACTTTACAGTCTCTGTGCCTAAGGATTGACCTACAGGGGGTCACTGATTCAAAACCTGAAAAGCAGAGTTGATACAGAAGAGATAATGGTACCCAAAACAGTGGGAAATCTCAGGCTTTCACATTGGCATGTGGTATACAGTAGGTGCTTAATAAACGCTATGCTTTACTGACTATTGACTATTACTGACCACCCTGATAGCCCCTTCATCTCCCGCGCCAGCCCCCAGCTACAGTGACACCAAGCTCAGGCAGAATCGATACTTGCCCTAGGTTCTGTGTGGCCAGTGCTGAAGAGACACAAGATCAGCAAGCCAGCCCCTCATTTCCCTCTCTGCCTGCTGCCACCCCCCAGGGTGGTACCCCTAGCAGAGCCCAGGACCCCCGTGTGGGAGCCAGGCGCTGGCACTCACCACTGTGCTGTATTCCACCTCCGCCTCCCTCGGATGCACAGGCTCTTCCCGAAGGGGCCACATCTGCAGCTCCAGATTCACATAGTGGGGCTCCCCTTGCTGAGTAACCCGGGTGGGCAGGAGATGGGGGTACTTGGTGGGTGTCCACGGAGCCCCTCCACGGTCCAGCCCAGAGGGGCCTCCGTTCCTGCCTGTGTGTGGACATCTCCCCTTCCCTCGATGCCCTGGGTGCCCCAGCCTCCCCACCTGCCTCCTCCATCCGTCACTCTGGTCTTCTCTGGGAAACATTTGACTGGCCCCCGGGTCAGCATCGAAGGACCCTCCCCAGTTTCACTTTCTGTGGGGGGTATGGGTAGGGACAGACTGGCCAGAGCTCAAGACAAGACCCAGTGACCAGATCTCCCAGGGATCACTCTCCCTGCTCTGGGCGAGCACCACACTCCATCCATCGACCATGCACTCAGACCTCCACTGGCCAGTGGGGTTGTTCAAGCCCCCAACATCCTCTGTTCTCCCCACCAACCACCCCGGTATACCTCCAGCTTGTCTTACCTGACTAGGGGTCCGGAGTGGCTCTGGATTCTCACCAGCTAAAGAGACAGGAGAAGAGTTAGGAGTTTGAATCCCAGAACAAGGCAGGAATGGGGATCCCTATGATCTATCGGGAGGAAGGAATTTCCCTAGAGAATTTGGCCCCAGGGACCTGTCACTTCGGGTCTGCCACTGGGTAGGAGTTCGAGGCTTTGCCGGGAGGATGAATTGGTGAAGAGGGAAAAGACGAATGAATGAGGGAGTGGAGGCGTGGAGAAATGAACTAGCAGGAAGGAAGGCGCACTGGCCTGGGGAGATTGGCCAAACAAAGCTAGTTCTCAAAACAGTCACTCAAACAATGTTCCCGGGTGGGAGAAGACAGGTAAAGGACACCCTTTAGAAGGACCTGTCGGCAGGATGAAACAGTTCTGGAGATCTCTTTCACCAAAACATGAATATACTTAACGTCACCGAACTATAAACTCAAGAATGGTGAAAATGACAAATTTCACGGTATGTGCTTTTTACCACAATAAACAAAAACGCACATCCACAGGCCCTGCCCCAGGGGTCCGGAATCAGAATTGCTGGGGATGGGTTTGTGTTTTAGGAAGCCCTAAAATTTTTTCTAATTAAAAAAAAAAAGAAGAAGAAGAACTGTCCTGTGGAGACCTAGAATTGTTTCAAACCAGGAGAGGTCATGGGGGTCGTCTGCTCCAGTCCCCTGGCCTGGGGGGCTGTCCCACACATACAGGACACCGTGTGGCTAGGGGGGGATCACAGCTCGGGGCACACAACCTTGGGCTCCTGGCGCCTGCAGTTTGCTCTGCAAGCGTCCTGCCGCTGAGTCAGGCTCTGTGCACCCCGGCCCTTGCCACCCGGAGCCCCAGGAGCGGGTGGGCCGCGTGGGAGGCACACACGACCGTGTAGCTGCATGGACATCACCAGGGAAGGAATGTGGATGGGAGCCAGCTGGACAGGAAGCACGCTGAGGGTGGAGCCCCGTCTACCCTGGTCATGACGGTGTTGCCCAGAGCCAGATGTCACAGCAGGTGCTAGGGACAGCAGTGCTGTGTGCGTGAGGGAGGGAGGGAGGGAGGGAGTGAATGAGCGAGTGAATGAGCAATTGAATGACAAACGGGCTGATGGGGCCACACCGCCAGCCAGCGGGTGTGACAGGGGCAAGCATCAGTCTGCCGGAGAGGCGAGGGGACAGTGAGGGGCAGGAGCTGAGACTCGCAGGGATGGGGAGGGAGAGTCAGGATATTTGAACAGAAGGCTTTTCTCTTGTTACAGAGGTTCAGTGAAGCAAGGTGTAATCCCCCCCACACACGCACACACACCGTTAAACTCTGCAATAAGAGACTTCTAGAACATTTAATGGCAGGGAAAATGATACAACAGGTTAAGTGCAAAAAAAAAAAAAAAAAGCATTGAAAAGCAACTGGGGGGCCCCTAGGTGGCTCAGTCGGTTGAGTGTTTGACTCTTGATTTCGGCTCAGGTCATGATCTCAGGGCCGTGGGATGGAGCCCCGTACTGGTCTCAGTGCTCCATAGGGAGTCTGCTTGAGGATTCTCTCCCTCTCCTTCTGCCCCTCCCCCGACATGTGCCTGTGCACGTGCTCTCTCTCTCTCAAATAATTAATTAAATTTAATTAAAAAAAAAAAGAAAAGCAGCTAGAAGGACACACCTCATATGTCAGTGGTTGATTTTCTCCGAGTGGTGGGAGTTTTCTTCCTTATTTATTCTGGGGGATTTATTTCTTCTTTGTGCTTTTACTTATTTTTTTGAACCATCTTATAACCCTTTTCTAGAAGGGAGGCTCTCTAGGTGAAAGGGCAGAGAGGTCTGAGGCAATTGCAGCTGGGAAAATCTCCCCTGGGGAGGCCCACACCGCATGAGCCCGAGTGAGGGGGGAGGGCCCTCAAAAGTGATGTGGGAGCCGCAGATGGGGAAGAAGATGTGGTTTTCCTTCCCTACCTCAAGCACACACATGCCAGGGCTGACTTCTAAAGGCCTGACCCCCACCGTGGGGAGGGGCCGCAGGAGGCAAGAGCTCAGGGTGGCCGGGCCTCCCCTCCCCCCTCCCCCGCCCTTAGCATGTTCCAGCTCACCCCCAGAACACTGCCTCTGTGGAGCACACACCCCTTGTCCCCTGAGGCTGGACAAAGATTCCCCTGAGAACCGGCTGCTCATAGAGTCAAAAAGTTTCAGAACAAGAAGGAAAGGTAAGGCTCACACTCCAACTCAGGCAGAAATCTGAACTCCTTCGGGTGACAGCCTCTGGCCAGCAACAAGGAGGTCACATCTGCCTTCTTCTGTGCCTCGTTTTATTTAATTGGCTCGTTGAGTTTCTTGAGCCCCTACTTACTGAGTGCCCGACAGGGTGCTGGGTGCACCACACGTGTTCTCTCTTTTAATTTGAGCCCAGAGGAGAGCAAGTGGGGCCCAGGATGCCCAAAGCATCTGGGGTGCCCTTAGTGGCTGGAGATATTAAACAATACGTTAATTTAACAAATACTGACTATGCGCCTTCCCGAGTTACTCCCTGATCTTGAGGAGTAGCCCAGGCTGGTGGGGAGACGGGCAAGGAGGTAGGTGGGGACGATCTGCAGTGAAAAGGGCATGATGGTGCATGTCCAGAGGTGCAGCCAGGAGGGGCCCCCCAGTTACTTTCAGGGACCCAGGAGAAGGTGCCAGAAGAAAAGAAGTCTGAGGTCCAGGAGGACCACTAGGAGCGAGCCAGCAAAAGAAGGCAAGGAAGGCACTCCAGGGGCCCAGAGCAAACGCAGAAGGGGAGACTAATGTCATAGCTCCCGCCAGGTTGTTGGAAGTTGGGATTAGCTGCCGTGTGGAGTGTAACGATGGGCAAGGAGTGGGCGGGACTGGTTGTGGAGACACCTGGACTTTTGAGGATGTCATGGAAGGGTTTTAAACAGAAGAGGGTGACGTCTTCACAGACAACTTTCTAGGGAGCCCCCCCCACAGCCTGTATCCACCATAGGGTGCGCCGGCCCACCCCCTCACCTGGCCGGGGACTGACTCACATTTGACCTGTCTGCGAACCATCCTCCAGGCCAGCAGCGAGCTGCCCCCCAGCAGAAGCAGCAGAAGTGCCAACAAGGAGAGGAGTACTTGGAGCCTAGAGAGGGACACAGGGTGGTGTTGAGCAGGCAGGGAGCTTGCAGCGCCCCCCCTTATTTGCAATAGATAGATAAGGTCACATTTCAAAAAAAAAAAAAAGATAGTATAGTCTCCTTTCTACACACAAGCAGTGTATTTTAGAACCTTCCAGAGGCTCCTTATTCAGAAACAAGAAAATATAAATGTACATTATTTTCCTCCTTCTTTCACACAAAGGAGGCAAAATACATCGTGGACATCTCTAGCAGTACATCGTGGACATCTCTACATCTCTGTGCATGAAGAAGACCCCACACGTTTTCACAGCTGCTTACCATTCCATGGCATGGACAGACCATCATTTATTGAATTCTTCCCTCTTCATTGGCATTTCCCCCAGTCTCTTGTAATTATAAACACCGCCTCAAAAAAGCTGCCTTATAACTCTGCCATTTCTTTCTCTTTTTTTAAAGATTTATTTATTTATTTTGAGAGAGAGAGAGAGAGAAAGAATCTCAAGTAGACTCTTTGTTGCGTGTGGAGCCGGGCACAGGGCTCAATCCCACAACCCTGAGATCACGACCTGAGCTGAAATCAAGAGTCGGACGCTCGACTGACTGAGCCACCCAGGTGCCTGGTACCTCTGCCATTTCTCCTGTGAGCAAACCACAGCAGATGGAAGCTGACTTTGGGTCCCTCATTTGCCAGGCCCTCCTTTTATGTCCAGTTTGCCTTCATAATGTTCTAGTCTTTTCCTTAACGATGCACCTCGTCCCCCACATACACCAAATTGCACAGGTTCCAAGCTGCACGAACCTAGCTCTGCCCCCGCGTGTGTATCTGCAGTCAATTCTGGAAGTTGTGTGTTCGGGGCTTGAATTTCACCTTGCCTGATGTTAAGATTGCCACTTGGGTTGACAGGAGGCCTGTGGAAGGGCTTCAGGGTGTCATATAATAAAGAATCTGAATGGGGGCGCCTGGCAGGCTCAGTAGGTAGAGCATGGGACTCTTGATTGCAGGGTCGTGAGTTTGAGCCCCACGTTGGGTGTAGAGATGACTTTAAAAAAAAATGTGGTTGGCCTTTGCCCCTGGCTCCTGGAAAGAAGGCTCTAAATCCTTGGGATTTCCCTAATAGTAGGTGTGCCTTTGTTATTCAAGGACCCCTTGGATCACACCTGAGTTTATGGTAAGAGATGAGGTGAGTCAGGGTTGGGGCTGGTCACCAGAAGGACCAAGCCTACGATTATAGAGACTTGAGGCTCTGAGCCAGCCTGAAATTCAGGGAGCAGAGCGGGGCTGGGGATTGAGTTCAATCACGTGACCAATGATTCAACCAATCACGGTAAGGAACCCCAGTAAGAATTCTGGGCACCAAAGCTCGCAGGAGCTTCACGGTTGGGGAGCACATCGATGTCCCAGGAGGGTGACGTGCCCCAACTCCCCTGGGAGTCGGCAGGGAAGCTCTGCGCTCAGGACTGACCCTCCCAGACCTCACCCTATGTGTCTTTTCATTGACTGGTCCTGGCCTTTATCCTTTATGATAAAACCATATTTGTAAGTACAGTGAGCGTTTTCTTGCATTCTGTGAGCTATCTAGCAGATTAAGAACCCAAGGGGGTCATGGGAACTCCCAAATTCGTAACCAGTTGGCCAGAAACGTGATGGCTTGGGGATCCCCAAAGTGCTCCGGCATCCCAAGTCAGGCAGTCTTATGGGGCTGAGCCCTCTGCCTTTGGGGTCTGTGCTAACTCCAGGTGGTCAGTTCCAGGGTTGAATCCCAGCACACAAGGTGGTGCCGGGATAAGGAGTCTGAGAACCTCCGAAATGGTTTACACCTGCGCGTGTTTTTCTGGAGAGAGTCTATAAACACTGTGGGATTCTCCTGGGGGTTTGTGCCCCAAAAGGTCAAGAACTGCAGGTTTAGAAGGAAGAACCCAAGACTCTGAGTCACATAAACGTGGGCTGAAGCCCAGCCTGCCTCCCATAGTTATGTGACCCGGTGAAGCGCTTAACCTCTCTGAGCCCCTCTGTCTGCTCCTCTGGAACACAGGGCAGTAATGGGATCGGGTTCTGGTGAAATGAGAACATGCACAGAGGGCGTGTAGCAGGTGCCTGTTAGGATCATCGGCCCTTGCTGAAGTTCCTTTCCTTCCATCCCCACCGAAGCTTCTCCCCGGCCCCAGAGCAACTCCTGAGGAGAGGGCCCACCTCCAGGTCGGGGGACAGGGGACAGGGCGCCTTACCCCAGGCCCTGGCTCGGCGGGAATGCCTCCTGGCCGCTTGCACTGCGGGTGGCTCCCACGGCGGTTGTGGCAGCAGAGGAGGGGTGGGCCAACGTAGTCATAATTTTAGCTGTGCTTTTCGACATCTGGGTTACAGTGATGCTGACAGGTGGGGTGGACTCTGTTGCTGGTGCAGAAACACAAATCAGACCCAGGATAGCTCTCTCGGACTCTCCCACTACTTGCCAAGACCTTTGGGGTTTGATTTCACACAGAATGCTCACTCAGGGTTGGGGCAGGATGGAGGACCCCGGGGGCCAAAATCTCCCCAGGGCTCTCCTGAGCCAAGTGAGTGTTTCCGAATGGGACACGGGCACTGCCCGCCCCCAACAGTCCTGATTCCAACCTGTGGAGGAGGGTCAGGACCTTGGGAGAGCCCCTAGGTCACTCCTGCACTCCAGCTTCGTCCCCCTCTGGCCACAGCCACAGGCTGCCTGCCTGAGACCTCTGTCTAACCTGCAAATCTGACTGCCTAGCTGGAGCTCCGGCTGCACCCAGCACCTTCACCGCCCGGCGGGCGCCACCTGCCTCTCCACTCGGCTCCCACCCTCCCGCAGCGCGGCTCAGGGTGTCCGCAGGGCTGGTGCCAGGCTCTCCCTCTCTCCTTTGCACACCCTGTCTTCTCAAGAGTGAGCAGAGGGGCCAGCTTCTCCACGAAGCCTTCCTGACTCTCTTTCTCTCTCCTACTACTACCTGCCGCGCGCGCGCACACACACACACACACACACACACACTCAGAGTTTGCTCCAAGCCTCTGGACTGATTTCCGCCTCATCCAATCCAAACTGAGACTCTTCAGGCAGCCCTGGTGCTGGCACTGGGGGAGGGGGGTGCACAGCTCACCTGGGGTCACAGACACCACAACAAGGAAGGTGGGTTCGAGCAAATGTCCTGGGAACCATGATGTATCGATCCCACACAAGTACGTTCCTGCATCATCCTCTGTGAGGTTCTCCAAGGTCACTGTGAAGGTGAGGTTTGCAGGATGGTCCCTGATGGACACACGGCCTTTCCTCACTTCTCTGTCTGCCTCTTTGGTCTTTACAGTAGTCCACAAACATGGGGTTTTGCACCAGTATTTGGCCACCTCTCTGAATTTCTCCTCGTACTGACACTGCACGCTCAGGGATCCCCCCACGGTGCCCGTCACGGAGGTGGGGCCACTCAGAGATGAACAGCCTGGAAAACACAGCCAAGTGTGGTCCTTCACCAGATGGGCCTGGGTCAGGGGCGTCCTGGGAATCACCCCCCAAAGTTGCCCCATCTCACATTGGTCACCCCCCTCCTTTTCTGTCACCTCCAAGATTTTTTTTTTATCACAGCAGCCCCTTCCTCCAGACCCCAGCCTCCTTTCTGGCTGCTCAGGGTCATGAAATCTCATCCCAGTAAACCCCAGATGAACAAGTGAATCCTCCAACTTAGGAAGTCAGGAGAGGAACACATGCATATCACCCTACCCAGGGAGAAAGAAAAAGGTCAGAGTAGAAATTAGCAAATTAGGAAACAGAAAAACAGTGGAATTAGCATATACATTGGAAAACTGATTTTTCATATGGGAGTGACAAACATTCTGGTGGTAGCCAAATCAAGAAAAACAGGAGGAGATGCACATACACAATTCATAAGAAAAATAACCAGGGTGGGCGCCTGGGTGGCTCAGTTGGTTAAGCGACTGCCTTCGGCTCAGGTCATGATCCTGGAGTCCCGGGATCGAGTCCCGCATCGGGCTCCCTGCTCAGCAGGGAGTCTGCTTCTCCCTCTGACCCTCTTCCCTCTCGTGCTCTCTATCTCTCATTCTCTCTCTCTCAAATAAATAAATAAAATCTTTAAAAAAAAAATAACCAGGGTTATTTGCAAGCCTCTACCAGTAAGTCTGTAAACTTAGATGAAACCAATGATTTTCTATATTTAGGAAAATATAAATTACCAATATTGGCCCAGAATATATTTCTTTTTAATGTAGACCAGTGAAGATGTGTATTATCAAGGAGACCTTTCCCGGTGATAAGTATGTGAGGTGCAATGTATATCAAAACATCACATTGTACGCCATAAATATGCACAATTTTTATTTGGTAATTATACCTCAATAAAGCTGGGGGTTAATCCAAAACAAAAAAGTTGCCTTCCAAAAAAAAAAAAAGAGTAAAACCCAGACAGTTTTATAAATTGGTTTTCTCAAACCTTCAAGGAACAAACATTTGTACAGAATATAGAAGCAGGGAAACCTCCCTAATTCTCTTCATGAAGGCAGCATAATATATTGGGACTAAAGTCTGGCCCGAATTTCTTAATATAATTCACCAGCTTAATAGTTCAAAGAAGAAAAAATAATCATCTCCATAGATAATGAAAAAGCATCCAACACCCATTGCTACTGTTTTTAAAAACCACTTTGTAAAGAGACAAAAGTGGACTCCTTCTTCACGCTTAATGGGAAACACTGAGCACCTACCCTCATCAGGGACAAGGCAGGGATGGTCCCTGCCACCTCCGTCCTGGGCATCATTCTGGCCATACCAGCCTGTGGCCGATGAGAGAAGCAGAGGAGACAAGCGGATATCCCGAAGGAACCACAAACTCCCACTGCAGACAGATCTCATAACACAAGGACACACTAGAGGGTAAGGGACAGATAAGCCGTGCGGGGGTGACCTGCTTCCAAATTAATACACAAAAGAATAGCTTTCCTGTGGACAACTAGTTAGCAAATAAAGCCAGAGAAAATGTGCGATTTATCATCAAAACAACCAAAAGGATTTTAAATATCCCAGGGATAGACCTGATGAGGCTGTGCATGCCTGTGTGCGGCGAGCTCCTGAGAGACACAGAAGCCGGATCCCCAGAAACAGGGAGCCCTCTGCTCCCCGGAGAAGCTCACTTCCCTTCCCTCCCCGTGCCTTCTCCGCCCTCCCCTTCATCCCCACCACCTTCCCCTCCGCTCTGGCCCCATCTCCCTGTCTTGGGGAGACAGAGCCCCTGGCCCTCGGGTCTGGCCCCTCCAGCTGCCCTGGCTACACACCTCCGTGTCCCCGACACCGTGGCCTGCTCCCGCCAGTCTCCGGCCCTCCCGCATGCCCTGCACCAGACTCCGGCCCCTCCCCTCGGTAGGCTCAGCTGCCACTCTCTCACCCACTCTGCCGCCACCTGCTTTCTCCTCCTTTTTCCTGTAATAATTCATCCGAAACTTCCCACAAAGCCCCTCTGGGCACCCTGCCGTGGCTCAGGGAAGGTGGGGTGCATGACCCTGAGTCACACCTGGCCCCTCCAGGGTGCAGTCCTTCCATCCGTCCACGTCCGTGCTGGACAGAGCTCACCTTGCTCTGAGATCTGTGCAGAGCGCAGACTCGAGCGCGGACCCGCCGCCACCTCCCCTGCAGCCCTGCCCCCCACAGCCTCCCTCCCCCGGGAAGACTCAGTCCGGGCAGCCCCTCACCTGGGCCCCAGAGAAGCAGCAGTGCCCAAGGCAGCCACGCGACCCGGCCCTGCCAGGTCATCCCTCCGGCACAGATGTCACCGGCAACAGCACCAGGCGGCTTTAGGCCCCTTCAAGGAGGAGGATCAAGTCTCCAAGTCTTCCACTTCTGCTTTTCTTTGTGCGCCTGCTTCCTGGTTCAGTATCTTCAGGTTCTCTTCCTTGAGCTGGTCAGAAAATGAAGGGCACCAAGGGAGCAAAGCCTCTGGGGACCATGATGGGCTGAGACCCCGAGGACCCAGGCACCCTCTGACCCAACCCAGCTGTGTCACAGATCCCACAGGCATTTCCAGTGCCGGGACCCCTGCTTCACCACAGCGCCTCAGGCCTGTGCCCCACCCCCCCTCCATCACACCCCCAAGACCACAGGGCCTGGCTTCCTTCCTTCTGGGCCCATTAATTCCTCCGGTTTCCTTGTGGTCAGGGTGAGCACCCAGTGGGGCGGAACCAGGGCCAGCGTCCTTCTCCAGCCCTGGTTGCACCCACAGTGAGGCTGCCCCAGGGAGCTCCCCTTTCTATGAGCCCCCAGCTCAAGGCCCAGACCCCCAAGCTGGAATAGTGACCTCAGAATCCCTGAATGGTTCTTACTCTTGGAAACGTGTCCCCAGTCTGTGACCTTCCTTCCTCTGCAGCCCCTACTGGTCCCAGCTCAGGGCTGGGCACAGAGTGGGGACTTAGCAAGCTTACAAGGACCCCCTCCTGCCCTGGTCCACCTGGAGTTCAGATGCTAAATATGCATACACATACACATACACACACACACACACACACACACACACACATTTCCCGTGACAAGTGCCCTCAGCTTGCACAGAATGGCCACATGAGCAGAGGAAACCAACCCTGACATGTGACATCACGAGTGCTTATGGTTACTCTGAGTGTCACCCAGAGGGAGTCCTGCACTAGCTCTGGAGTCCCGAGAATGCCCTTCCTTCCCTGCCCCTTGGAGGATTTTCACTTTCCTCCTCCCTTCTGGCCACAGGAGTACCTTCCCCAGGGAAGGCACAAGGGAACCAAGAAGACTTGCCCATTCTGCTCTGGAAGATTCCAAGCACAGAGTTAGGTAGGCATCAGAAGAATTTCTATGACAACAGATTAACTAAAGCTCGTGGAGATCCAACATCAAGATCTTGAACGGAACAGGAGACTGTGGGAGAGGTGTCATACTTGGTGGTTTACTTGGCCTAATAATTATAAAGCTTCCCCAGAAGTGCATATTTTCCAATTCAACCACCAAAAGGCACTGCTACGGTCTTGAACGTCAAGGTTAAGAAGGGGACGCACCAGACTGAGAAGCAGGAGACTAGGATCTCCTGTGGCTAGTCCACTTGGAGCTGGTACAACTGTGGGTAAAATCTGTGGCTCCTTCAAAATGTCGACGATCACAGCCAATCTGTGGGAATAAACCGTGTAATAATTATAAATATACTCAAATGTGAGGTAATAATGTCGTTAGGTCAGTCTTTCCCCAAGGGAATACATCTTTAAAGAAAGGCAAGAGGGGGACACCTGGGTGGCTCAGTGGGTTAAGGGTCCAACTCTTGATTTTGGCTCAGATCTCAGGGTTGTGAGCTCCAGCCCTGCATTGGGCTCCATGCTGGGTGTGGAGCTTCCTTCACAAAAATAAAAAATAAATAATAAATAAAATAAAAATTTAAAAAATTAAAAAAAAAAGAAAGGCAATAGGAAAATAGGATTCAATAGGGAGAGGTGTGCTTCACAAATAATCTGTGGGGTGCAATTCCTCTTAGGAGCACAGAGAAACATTTGGACTCCTGGAGGAGGAAGGGCAGGGGACTCTATCCTGCTGGCCCCAACCTGTCCACGAACACTAGAGAAGAAACGAATTGATGCAAGATTGCCGCATGATGGGGCACCTGGGCGGCGGTCAGTTAAGTGTCCGACCTCAGGTCATGATCTCAGGATCGTGAGATTGAGCCCCACTTCGGGTTCCGTGCTCCTTGTGGAGTCTGCTTGAGATTCTCTCCCTCTCCCTCTGCCTCTCCCCCTGCTCTCTCTCTCTCTCTCTCTCTCTAAAATAAATAAATAAAATCTTTAAAAAAAATTGCCACATGCTGTTAGAAGATTAGGGAAGTGACACTTTCACCCTACTCTCTAATAACGGCTAGTGGACATGATGTAGGGGAAGACCAAGCCCGAGAACTGCAAGGCCTGGGGCTCATCAGGTTTGGAGCGTCTTCCCAGTGTGGACGCAGGTGCTTGGAGGCCAGTGGGGACGGGGTGGACTGTGCTGGATGGGGGCTCTCTGGGCAGACAAAGTAGTAGCAGCAACCACCACATTGAGTCCTGTGAATGGTAGGGGCCCCAGAAAAGATTTGGGGGCCATTTAGCTGTGGGGCCATTCGGCAAAACTTCCCTTTCCAAGGTGGCACAATCTTAGAGCTGCCCTCTTTCCTGGACAGTCGATGGCTCCCCATCACTCTGCCTCTTCCTTTCCGGAGCTCCAGGTCCCCTCACCCACTGTGGGTACCCCTCAAGTGTGACCAAAAGCCAAGAGGCTGGGCACCAAGGGCTGACCAGCAGGAAGTGGCCCCATGACCGGCTGGCCGGAGAAGGGAGCTGACCATTGGGTGAGTCCGTAATGAGAGGGGAGGGGAGAACCAGCACCTACTGTGTACCAGATGCTTTGTCTCCAGGGGGTTAATATCTTCGGGATCCCTGGAGGCGAAGGGATAACTGTGAATGAGAAGCAGTGGGGGAAGGGCAGCCAGGAAGGAGGAGAGAGCCCTGGAAGCCTCTGGTTTCCCAGTCTGGCCCAGCCTGCCTCTCCGCTGGACTCCCTGGGACTGCCTGCACCTCACCCTCCTGCCCATCTCAAGAGAAGCTACTCCAACATGGCCAGATCCTCCAGGGGCCCAGGCAAGCTTGACCAACCCATATTCCAGTGCATTCCATAGTCCCAGGTTCACAGTCCACAACCAGTTGGTCGTGGCCCATGACACACTCTCTGGCTTGACCCTGGGCACGCTGTGTTCTAGCCTGAGATGAAACTGTGGGTGAGCAGATGGGTGGTGGTCCTGGCCAGAGGCCTGAGAACGCTCTCTGTCCCCCAGAGTGCTCCCGGGGCTTCCTATCCACAGAGCTGCTGCTCTGTGCAGGCCCTGTCCCCCTCACAGGTGCCTGGACCTGGAGAGATTGTCTGCACCCTAGAGAGAGGACCAGGGCTGGGACCTGGTCCCACGGGAGCCTGCAGAACTCAGCGAGAGCATCCACCCGGGGTCTGGCCTGGGCTCTACCCGGAGGGGTGGCCCTGGGGCTCCTCAAAAGCCCAGGGCAGGGACTGGGGCATCAGCAGTGGGAGGGGCATGGGTGACTCTTCAAGGTCATTCCTTCACCTTCAGCCTCCTCCATGCCCCCCTACTCACTCACTCACTCAAGGCTGCACTCAAGCCATCCCCTCAGAAGATACGCCTGCCTCCCCCAGGCCCCTCTGAACCCCTCCTGTGTCCCTATCCCTTGCAATGTCTGTTTCTGTGTTTGCTCACCCACGCCGGGGTGTCACTGAATGCCCTCCTTTTCACGGTAAGACGCCACGAGAGCAGGGACCACACAGGCCCCTGCAGCCCGAGGCTCACGTGCCCACCACAACTGCCCAGAACTGGGGATAGATACAGAGAACCCAGGCCGTCAAGGCCTCTCTCGTCCTCTTGCCAAAGCCCACCCTTGGGAGGAAGAAAGGCAATAGAACTTAAAATGGTGCAAGCATGTTAAGATCCATCCAACAGAGCGCTTAGGGTTTGTGCACTTACCCTAAGCTACCGCTCAGCAGAAACTAGGCCCGACAGAGACCAGCAGTCTGCACACCTAGAGGGGGAGGCAGGGGCAGCATCCAGTGCTCATGGGCTGTCCTCTCCCGAAGCCCCAGGGACACACGAAGTGGGCAGATGCCCAGGGGCAGCCTCCGGCCAGCACTGGCCTCCTGTGTCTCCTGAATCACAGCTGATAGCCTAGGGGGTGGGTGAGGGGATCCCTCCCCAGAGGACCCCTGCCTGTGACGTGGGGTTTAGCAGAGTACGGAGGTCCGGCCCTTGTGTCCTGGCCCTGAGCTGCATCCCAGCTGCAAGGCGCAGCCTCAGTCGGTCATCAGTGCTTCCTTCTGTGAAGTGGGAGCTGTGCTGCCGGCCCTGCGCCCCACCCCCCACGGGAGGCTCACCACGACAGCAGAAAGGTGACTGTACCTGTCCGTCACTTAGGCTGCTGGTTACTGAACTCACGCCCTGAACTGTGCTCACCTCTGCCCCTCACGCTCAGAGAGATGAGATGACTTACTTGCAAGAACCCCAACTTCTGTCCGCCATACCACGCCTCTCCGGTGGGTGACTGCTCAGGGCAGGGGGAGAGCTGGTTCTAGAAAGCAGTGGAGGTTACCAAACGGCCACCCCGGGAGTGCGATGGGGAAGAGGATGTTGGGCAATTGAGGCCGACAAATCGATGGGCTTGCCGGGGAGTTCTCATTCCCCCGGACTCCCCATCACCACCTTCTGCTTCCTCCTCCTTCCTCACCCAAGGGCAGCCCCAGGCCTCTTAGAATGACGCCAGACAAACAGAAAACAGTCCCTGTGGGCTCTTGCCCCTGTCCTGACAGAGGGTGGGTGTGGGAAGAACCAGCAAGCGGTCAGTTCAAACACTTCTAATATTGGCTTCGGGAAGCACATTTGGCTTGAATATGTGAGTTTCTGACACTCTGGGAATGACCCCACCTCAGGAAGGTCGGCAGCTTCCTCAAACACACGTACATACTCCTATAACCTCCTTGACCCCCCTGCTTTTCTGTCCCAGCACCCACAGCAGCCTTCCCACAGACATTTCCAGAAGCTGGTAGAATGCATGTGGTTTTTGGTTTTTTGGTGGGCAGCAAAACCAAGTTTAGTGAGAGCACGGAGCTCCAGAAGAGGGAGGGGACCCAAGAGGGTTGCCCAGAATGCACGTATTTCAAAGCCAAGAACTCAGGCAAGCCGAGAGTTCACAGGACTCTGCAGTAGGTGAGCGGCAACTATAGACAGGACCGTGTCTCCCTCCCTGTTCCAAGGCAGCAGGTGAGGAATATCCATGCTGCCCGGTAGTGAACGTGAAGCTAATTGTGTTGCCTCACCTTGCCTGAGTCTGGTGTGTTCTTTATTTCTTTCTGGTTTTCTGTGCCTCCCCGGGATCCAGACAGGTCTGACCCACTTCCATTACCTGAGTCTCTTAGTATATTACAAAATGAAAAGTCCAAAAAAGGATTAATGAAAATTAGAGCATTTAACAAATCAAGGCTTTTGACATGCAGCACACACACAGTTACAAGGTTTATAAAAT